CTTTATCATCTACTATTCTACTACCCCACCTCGAGACTACCCCAAGTCGAGGTCGAGACCTGGCTAGCATACTGGTTTGATTTATTTTATTCTCTAATTTATTCATTTATTTTCTTGCATATCAATTGGTATTGGACGAAATCACATATCCTTAAAACCACAATATAAATTTAATTGTTATCCGAATTTGAGGGTAAACACTGAGTTTGAACCTCTTTTTTTTCCTTCAGAAACAGCGTTTCTTTCACAAAAGCAGCTAAACAAAACCCTGCTTGTAAATACTTCCCGAAAAGTATTTTTCGATCAGCCAAATTCTTGGATTGTAATTTTTTTAAGGGAAAACAGTTTTTGCCAAATATAAAAAATGATTTCTCGTGCTTTGCGGTGAAAGTGATTTTTCGTTGCGACAATTTTGTATACTGCTTTAACCAATACTTGTATATTATTGTTAATCACTTAATCTTTACTTACTATAAATCATCAAAATACCATCTACTGAGCATCCTATCAATCTTATAAAAAGTTTTCACTCTCCAACCAAACGTGGAAAATAATTTTTTAGAAAATAAATCATTTTCTAGAAAGCATTTTTTCAAAAATATATTTTGTTACTAAACGCATTTCGACGCTTTGTGCTCATATAGCTTTTTCGACGCTTTGTGCTCATATAGCTTTTTCGACGCTTGCCCCTCGGGGAAGACCCGTTCTTTCAGTAATTCGTCTGTCTTCTAGCCAATAGTTAAATGCTGAGATAGCATTGTTTCAAGATCGATTTGAATTGGTTTTTTTTTCCTTTTATTAAATTTATCCACTAGAATAAAATTCACTTGAGTTAACATAATATTATTGAACAAAGGCGTCTCAATAAAACTCGTGGCCTAAAGCCGAATTTTAATAAGGGACTTTAATCTTTTTTTCTTTTTTGTCTATTGTATAGTTATCTTGCAAAATATAGTATTAATATTACATTGATTTCTTTTTTCTTTCTTTCTTTTTGTCTATTGTGTAGTTATCTTATAAAATATAATATTAATATTCATATTAGTAAGAAAATTCAAGTTAATAAGATGTTAGCCACGTATTTGCAATTCGTTATTTTGGATCTTACTGTTAAAAAATATTATTTTATCAATATGAAGATTTGAGTATCTTAATTCAAAGTTCTAAAATATTTCTAGTGTTGCAAAATAGATAGTCTTTCTCTCCATTTTTATAAGAATTTTGTATTTTTTTCTGTTTTTTTCTAAACTTTAATATTGTCTAAGCGAAAATACGATAGTAAATTCACAACTAAAAATATTTTTGGGACCCCAAAATTTAGGGGCCTAAAGCAAAGGCTTTACTAGCCTGCCCCTAGAGCCACCCTTGTTATTGAAAACAAAAAGGTAAAAGAAAGATACAGTATTTTTCATGGCTGTTCCATGATACCAAGCCATTCTCTCGGCGTGTCCCAACACATTATTATTTTGAATGCATGCTTTCGAGGAGCCTCAACCCTAAAAGTTCTATCTGTATTTTACGCATTATTTTTCTCCATTATTCATTTCTTTCTATGGCAATTACTGTATAAATAATCATACAAACTGTATGTATATTTTTCTTCACATTCAAAGCTTAAAAGTTCCTAGCATTTGTTCTTTTATAAAAAGAAAAGAAATGAAAAGTATCATGACAGGCACAAATATAATTAAAAACGAAGAATTTTTTTCTTATGTTCAGGGGAAGCAAGGAAAGGAAAATGTCTAATTAAACCGAACCTTACACTTAATTTTTTGTAGTCTATTAAAATCTTTGCTTTAGGCGCTCAAAATTTTTAGTCTCCAAAAAATATTATTGGAATACATAAAAATATTTTTAGATAATAATGAAGTTTGTAGAAAAAAATATAAAATTTGTGTGAAAAGAAAGGAACAAAGTATGTCTACCTTTTAATATTAGAAATATTTTAAAACTTTGAATTAAAGTACTCAAATCTTCTTATTAGTGAATAAAGCTTTTTACAACAAGATCCAAGGTAATGTTACATCTTATTAACTTGAGTTAACCCCATGCTAATATAAATAATAATATTACTAAGTAAAGTTAAATATCTTATATTTTGTAGGAATACTACACTATAAATAAGTACAAAAGAAAAGCATAGATAATATTAATTTTTTTTGCATATATTTATATAGGTGTATACAATTTAGATTCTTATTAAAATTTGACTTTAGACCACTAAAGTTTTTGAGCAGCCCTTATTATACTCTCTACTATTTAGTAATCCATGGTAAAAATAGAAGTAACAATGAGTCATTTTAGGGAAGAAATGGAAGAATAGAAAACGTTAATGGTTGTTTTTCAGTTTTTGTTGCTAGAGAATAGGCAAAGGCACTGGCATCTAGGAATTTCTCTCATGTTGCTCCCTAATCATGTAGTGATTAACTAGTAGCTTTTCCCTCCTCCAATGCATTAAAATTATTTTAGGCTAAAAACTAGACATTATTTTCTCTGAAATGAATGGAAATATAGTAGTACAATCAATTGCACATCCGTAGATCCTAAATATTCAACTATGTCTTAGTGACTATGATAAAAACCCATACCTATTTTAAAATCATATGATTGTAATCCATTTCTACTTGTTCTAAAATGAACTTAAGCTAATATTGATCATGAATTTAGTTTCTTTTTTACATATTTTGGCATGCCATTTCCATTGATGACAAAATTCAGGAAGCGAGGCTCAGATGGTTCAAACACGTACAAAGGAGAAGCCTAAATGCCCGGTAAGGAGGTATGAGCAGTGACTTTGGAAGGCATGAGAAGAGGTAGAGTGCGGCCTAAGAAGTATTGGGGAGAGGTGATCAGACAAGACATGACGTGACTTAAGATTTTCGAGGACATGACCCTTGATAGGAAGCTATTGGAGGTCGAATATTAGGGTTGTAGATTATGAGGTAGTTGAGTCTATTTCTACTTCGTACATATGTGAGGCTAGCCTGATAGGATTTTTGTCTTAGACCACTAGTGGTTAATATCGTGTCCTCACTACTCTTTTGTTTTTTACAGTGCCGGGTCTATTTACTGATTATTGCTTTTAATCTATTTTCTGGTTTTTATGATGTTGTTATTATTCTTATGGTTTCTGTTGATCGTACCGATATATTATCTCTTTTCATCTTCTTGAGCCGAGGTCTTTCGGAGACAACTTCTCTACTCCATTAGGGTAGGGGTAAGGTCTCCGTACACACTAACCTCCCCAAATCCCATTAGTAAAATTTTACTAGATCGTCATTATTGTTGTTGTTGTTGTTGTGGCAATGCCATTGTCTCTGAGACAAAGAAATAAAATATAAAATAGAAAGAAGTTTTACAGTTTCCTTGTGTTTGACAAATTCAAAGCCTGTTATAATTTAATGTGAAGCATGAACAAGTCAAACTTTAACATCAAATTCGATTTTTTTTTAATTTTCTAGATCTTCAGGCGTAAATTATCCGTGAATTTTCATTCTCCTCCTTTCTCAAGTTTATACATACCTATCCCAGCTATAAAAATACAAAAACAGATGCGAGAAACCTAAAATCGCATCGTCTCTAATGCTAATTTTGTTAAATTTCGAATATGATTTTGTGAGAAATTTGGAGTGAGTGTTATTTCAGATTTGTTACAAATAGTTTAAGTAGGATGTATACAAATTTTGAACTAGTCATTTAACGGAGATTTAGACTAGTTTTGAACAAAAATTGCTAGTGAAAATCGTACAAGAAGTTCGTCAGAGATACTTATATACTTTACACAATGTTATACACTTTTACACAATGTATAAGCACATTAGTGAAAATGTTCATGATACACTATGTATATAGGTATATAAGAAGAATAAGAAAAAAATGTGAGAAATCCACCAAATACCTGTAAATAATGTCTCAACCTTGTATATAACAGTGTATAAGGGGTGTTTATACACTATTATACACTGTTATACAAATGAATCCTATCAATGGAGCTTTATAGGTTCTTCTTCTTCTTCTTCCTTGAGACACTTCTAGAATCTGACTCAATCTAGCTCAAATCTACTCCAAATCACTTTAAATTTAAGTTTGAACTCTTCTTGATGATTTCAATCAATTGGGACAACTTCCAATCCAAGCAACTAACAAACTCGAAAAACCCAATTTCGAAAATCAAAAGTTCGATTTGAATCTTGAATTGAAGGGGGGGGGGGGGGGGGNATTTCATAATATAAATAATACTTCAAGAAGCTGAATCTACAATTAAATTCTAAGCTAATATACGAAATTATGTAAAATGACCAAAATGCCCCTCGGGCCCACGCCTCGGAATCGGGTAAAATTTATATTTCTAGAAACCTCTTACTCTCACGAGACTAACCATACCAAAATTGTCCAAATCCCATAACATTTCGACCCTCAAATCCGTGATTCTATCCCAGGGGGTTTTCTAAACTTTTCCAACAAAATTCACGGATTAAATGCCAAAACTAGTAATAGATTCGAGTAATCTAACAAAAATTAAGTTAAGAACACTTACCCCATTGTTCCCTCTGAAAATCTCTCGAAAAATCGCCGCACCCGAGATCCAAATCGTCAAAAATGGAAAATGGGATCAGAACTTGACATAATCTGTCCAGCAATTTTTGCACCTGCGGTTACTGTTCACTGCAGGTGCGGTTACTATTCACCGTAGGTCCGGTACTGTTCACCGTAGATGCGGTTACTGTTCACCGCAGATGCGGTCACTGTTCACCGCAGGTGCGGTTACTTTTCACCGCAGAAGCGAAAAATGACTTCTGAAAATTGCAGCAGCTTTCTTGAAATCCGAATTGATCGGTTAACCTTCCGAAACACACCCGAGGACCCCGGGACCTCAACCAAATATGCCAACCAATCCTAAAACATCATTCAAACTTGTACCAATCTTCAAAATACTTCAAACAACATCAACACGCCTATTTTTCATCGAATTCATATCTATCTATGGTTGAATGCCACCTCTTCCTTTTTCTCTCTCTCTTCAGTTATAATCCTACGAAAACTCTTCACACGCCGCCTCACTTCACTTTCACTTCCTCTGTGTTTTTCACAATTCAAGAAAATCTCCCTTTTTGTTTGATTTTTTAGTAATCTTGAAAAATCAAGAAAAGCCTTTTCCTTGTGAATTCATAGTATGATCAATTCCATGGCATTATTGTTACTGTGATTAGTAAGCTCACTGTTCTTTCACACTGTGTTATGATCAAAGTTTTATGTTTTCTTACATGGGTTTTCTCTATTTTGTTCAATAGTTCTGAAAATATTGATATTTTGTTTGGGTTCTCATTTGATTTTTGATGATCTGTGGAATTGGGTTTTGAGTCCTCTGATGAATCTTGGATGTGTTTGTGGGAATCTGATGTGTTATTCTATTTTGTCTGTTTCGATTGTTTTTATGTATTTTGTTTGACGTCAATATCGAGGAGACTGGTTGGTAGACTATTGTCTGATATTCTGGATAATGACATATTTATTGTAAATGTGAGTGTGCTGACTCAGTTCTTGAACTGGGGATTTGTCATTCTTTTCCCAGTTTGTCTAGAATGTGAAAAATGCAGATTTCATCATCTGCTTCAAATGTGAACGAATTGCAGTGGAAAATATAGACAACTTCTCGTAATTTTTATTTTTATATAATATTAGAGTCAGATGAGCTTAAATAAAACATTTCTTTACCAAGTTTGTCTATGTTTTTCTTTGTTTTTGCTTTTCCTACAATCACTTTATTTGATTCTTTAGCTTAGATAGCGGATGATGCCAATATGTATCATTCTTGTAGCGGAATTTGTCGTGCAAAATTTTTGGTGTTTTTTTGCTTGCTGATGTTTTTCCTTTTTTTTTTTTGTGTGATAAATTTGGTTTGCAAGGAGGATATTTGATGTGTGTGTGCGTGTATAT